GTTCGTTTTTTTTTTTTGAAATGAAAAATAATGTATATGTTAGGACAAAACTAATATATGAAATTAATCGAGATGACTTTTGATTGGTCTCTAAAATGTACCGCTTATGAATTTTCATGTCCGTTTTCTTCCATTGAGATGAGATATCAATTGTTTTGATAAAAGTGAAACGATTTTATTAAAATCTTTCTGCAAATCTTTTAGGGGTCACAATATATGAGAGCTAATCAGAGGAGTGCAAGCAGGAGAAGGAGTGCATATGACATAAATGAATAATAAACAAATAAATGAGCATTATATACTGGTGAATATATATATATAAAAAAAAAAAAAACACAACTATAACTTACTAACATTTACTAATAATAAGAAGAGGCTTTTCTAGGCATTATAGAAAATAAGATAAACCTGCAATACAATAATAAATCAATATACCGAGCATCAATACAACAATAAATGAATATAGTCAGCATCAATAAAATATATAGGTATTAAAAGATATGACATATATATGTATATATTGGATACAAATAGGCATATGACATAAATGAGTAACAAACCAGTACATAAGAATTATATACTTTTGAAAATCAGAAAAAGACAACCATGAATCAGTAACATTTATTAACCAAAAGAAGAGACTTTTCTGAGCATTATAAAAAAATAACAGAAAGCGACAACATAGTAATAAACTAATATACTCAGCATCAATGAAACATATGGATATTAATTAGTAATAGTACCTGTAATATGATCAACAGAGCGTTAAACAACAAATCTCAGCCAACCAAAGAGAAGTGAAAGAGGTAGAGTAAAGGCAATAAGGCAGTAAATAGGCAAATGCAATAAAGGAGTAAATGAGGGGCAATAGAGTAGAAAGACAAAGATGTCAGGTGCAATAGAAACAGTTAGGGTATCTTGAGAACTCATTAATGTTCTACACATATAAAAAGAAGAACATGATGAATAATAAGGTCATATCTGGTAATGCAAAGTCGGTGAAAAAACTGAGAAAGTATTTACAAAAAAAGACGCTAAGAAAAAAGAAAACAAATGAAAGGACAATACTCAGGCTAAATTTTTTCCTTCCAGAATAAAGAAGGAATAACAAAATCACAACACAGTTAATACCCCTGTTGTAAGAAGGACATAAATCATTAACCTAAGAATACAAATCAACATACTAAATATTATAAGTTATTACAATAAAATCAATATCTATCAGTCTTTTTTTTTTTTAAATCTTTTGCATGTTTCAGAAAATAATAATCTAACATGAAAAAAAATTTTCCTCCCTTTCCTTCTCACGCTGTCAACATATTTCAAAGGATAAAAACCACGGAAAAATAATATCACGAACTCATTTAACGCTTCTACAATAAGACGGAAACAAATCATCCATCTAATAGTACAAACCAGTATCGTAGACCTTACAAATCAGCACCACAAATCAACATATAAAGAAATGCAAAGCAGATTAATCTAACCAAACTTAGATCCAAAATTCAGGAAAATAAAAGTCTGCAAAGGAATGAAAAAATTTGCACTCCACTTGTAAAAATCAGCCACGAACAAAACAAACAATCATTCACAAACATGTACATATTTCAAAAAACAAATAAAAAATTATAACAAAACTTCCAAATTAACAATGACTAAATAAAATTTTAAAAACATAGCCGAAGAAGACTAATTTATTTAACCCAAAAAAAAAGTATTACGCCAAACCCACAACAATAATCGAATAGAGAACACAAAACAAAAAAGAGAACACAAACAAAATATGAAGAAGAGGATGAATCAAGAGAGTAAAATAGAAAACCCAACCAAAATCCCCAATGGAAACAACGGAAACATGCACGAGAACAGTAAAAATCTCACCCAAATTCCTTCATCGAAAGAGAAAAGAAGGAGTAAAAGACAATTAAAAATATCTACACCGTAAACATCAACCAAAGAAAGATCAAATAAGAAATAACAGCAATAAGGAAGATCAGAAGATAAGAAGCATCCGAAGCAAGGAGTAAGTAAAAGCAAAAGACGAAATGAAAGAAGCGACCGCAGAGAAGAAAACAGAGCAAAACAATAGGGAAGCAAAACAATGACACCCTAAACCGGTGAAATTACAAAAGTGCCCACGCACTAAGGAAGAAACGAAGAAGAAAGGAAAAAGGGCAAATCCGGGAAAATAACGTGCCGAAAACACAGAAATGCCCACGTTCAGAAAAGAGAATAAAGAAGAAAAGCAAAGGGCAAAATCGGGAAAAAAAAGTTACTGTACAATGAATAGTGTTCCACGATAGGGTGAACAGTGCCAACGGGGCTTAATTGAAAGAGAAAAGAAGGAGTAAAAGACAATTAAAAATATCTACAGTGTAACATCAACCAAAGAAAGATCAAATAAGAAATAGCAACAATAGGGAAGATCAGAAGATAAGAAGCAGCCGAAGCAAGGAGTAAGTAAAAGCAAAAGACGAAATGAAAGAAGCGACCGTAGAGAAGAAAACGGAGCAAAACAATAGGGAAGCAAAGCAATAAAACCCTAAACCGGTGAAATTACAAAAGCACCCACGCACTAAGGAAGAAACGAAGAAGAAAGGAAAATGGCAAATTCAGGAAAACAACGTGCCGAAAAGACAGAAATGCCCATGTTTAGAAAAGAGAAGAAGAAGAAAAGCAAAGGGCAAAACCAGGGAAAAAAATACTGTACAATGAATAGTGTTTTGTGAGCGGATGAACAGTGCCAATGAGACTTTCCATTAGTATATATATAATTTCTTAAAGTAAATATACTTTCCTAAAATAATTTTTTTCTAAAACATAAAGGCATGTAAATTGTTAAGTAAAAAAAAAAAGTTACAGCGGGGACGTGCCTTCGGCACATCTCCCATGCTAGTCCCATCAAGAAAACTGTAAACTATTATCATTATCCGCACTTACATATCACCATGCTAATTCATTTTTTTCCAATTCTACTAAAAAAATTTCCTAAATAATGAAGCTATATTTACTAATTTGAGAAGAAATTAGTAATATTTATAGGTTTTATTATTTTGTAGTTAGGGCCCAATCTCAATGTATATTAGAGCAGAATTCGGTCATAACCTATAACGATCTTAGATATTTTGCTTATAAGCAGAATTCTCAAAATGAAAGGACTGAAAGGATATTAAACTTAAAGAGAAATATACACACACACATATATATATAACTTAAAGATATATATACATACATATATATATATATATATTAATTGAAACGTGAGTGCTATGTACATGTGAATTGTATTTGTTGAAAATACACTTGAGAAAAGAGATATTTAAATGGGAATACATTTAAAAAAAAATAACTAAGAAGGATGCATTGGATTAATGACATCTTTAAGTGAAATTATTTTAGTGGAAAAATTGCAAAAAAAAACTAATAAAAAATAACAAGGTCACGTCTAATGTAATAATGTTTTAGAGGAATATATGGAAAAAAAATATTTAGGTAGGGATACTATCGATACACAATAAGGTAGATTTAAAAAAAATACATTAATGAAGCATATTTAAAAATAAAAAAGATGTTAGGGTGAAACAAAAATAAATAAATCAAAGAAAGTAAAGAGGGAGGATTAAAAATGAAAAACAAATGAGAGGAAGGACTAAGAGAAAGAATAGGAAAGCAAGGAGGGACAAATAAAGACATAAGAGATGAAGGAGAGAATAAAGAAAAGATAACCACTTTCAACCAAATCAAAAAACAAAAAAAACAAAAAAAAAACTTTTTCAAATTGGTGCTGTATATTTTCTAAGAGTACCACTTCAAAAAAAAGAGGGGAAGAGAGAAAAAAAAACGTAAATGAGTGTTTGAAAGTTGGTATAGCCCAACACAAATTTAAATAGTATATATGATATCCAATGACAATTTGGTCATTTTAAAAAAACTAAACCAGAAAATTTAAAGGAAGGGATACTTTTTGTTTTTTTTTAAACACAAGGGATACTTTTTAAATTTTTAAAAAACTCAGGAATAAAAGTTATATTTAGATAAAATTGGGGAATACTTTTTGGATTTTCTCAATATTCATTTTTCATGATCTTTTGCAGCAGCTAAATCAGCCCAAGACTCTTAAGAACATTAAGAGTAGATTTTCATTGAACAAAAGTCTCTTTGAAGATTTCTAGACTCTGAAAATGATATCCTCATGGCAACTCAAAAGACTCGATCAGATAATCTTTTCACTCTGATCTTTAACATACAATAATGCAGCACCTCTTATTTTATTTTATTTTTTTGTTTTTTGTTTTTTTGTTTTTTGTTTTGTTTTAGGGAATGTGTCACGTCTTGACACCTCATTAATATTAAATACCTAATACTCATATATCATTAAGATTCGTCGCATCGTATCATGCGTGCAAGTTGTTTATTGGGATTCACTTAGCTATCACTAAATACTATACCTCATTTAATATTTGGTAAATCTTTTCCCTTCATTTCATTCTAATGAATTTTCCACGTAAAGAAATTTAATCCTATCGTCGATTGAATGATTGTTTTGTCATAAACTAATATCAATTTGGTTGACACTTTTTAACATGTGATGTTCTGTCATTTTCTGCCAAAGATATTGTCGGATATTAGTGAAAGCTACTGCTGTCTGTAGCTTTTGTCATGTTTCTAATAATTATTTGAATTTTATAATTTATCATATTACCTTTGAGGAAGATCATGCAGATCAGTCTATCTGGATTGGTGATTTCACGGGAATGATTTTTAAAAATAGAAGGCCAATAATAACATTGCCTTTACTCGGCCTTAATGGGACCGTACGTCACATCTCATGAATATTTTTTAATTCCTCAAAATATTCAAGATTATGTGATATGACGATTGCTCTGACGTGGCTTAAATTATCTTAAGCGAATTATTATTGCCATGCAAAACACGAGGTAAATGTCGTAAACTTATTTATGAGAGAGATTGGCCTAATTAGTTCACGGCCTAAACTGGAATACAAATGATAGGGCGAGATTATTAAAAAATTCCCAATTAATATATACAAATCAAGCTCACCCTTGATTTGTCTCTAAAATAAACAACTGCTTCTGATGTTTACAGTCTGTTTTCCATCTCAAGAATGCGTCTTTCAATTTTCAATACCTAAAAAACATTCAAGGTGTTTTTTACGTAGCTCAAATTGTTTTAGGATTATTTTTATTAGTACTAACTCAATTTTAGGGTCCTTTCCATTTTGTTATGTGAATTTATAAATCTTATCTCATTTTATCATTTGATTTTTGAATTTGGCTCATTTAAGTCACTGCATTAAAATTTCCGTTAAAAATGGAAAAATGACTTGGGTGAGGTTATATGGTCTTTTTTCGTTTGTTTTTAATGGAAATTTTTAATAGAAATAGTTCAATGAAACTAATATAAAATTTATGAAATAAAACAGGAATTTTTAAATTTAAGAGGCAAAATGAAAATGATCCTACAACAGAGTATATAGAATAAGAGGAAATTAATTATTGCATGAAGACAAGAGGGTAAAATTGCATACGAGAGGTGGGCCTAAAATTTACGACTAAAATAATGTACAAGTTTGTTTGTTTGTTCCTTTTTTTTTTTTTTGAAATGAAAAATAATGTATATGTTAGGACAAAACTAATATATGAAATTAATCGAGATGACTTTTGATTGGTATCTAAAATGTACCGCTTATGAATTTTCATGTCCGTTTTCTTCCATTGAGATGAGATATCAATTGTTTTGATAAAAGTGAAACGACTTTATTAAAATCTTTCTGCAAATCTTTTAGGGGTGGAAATATATGAGAGCTAATCAGAGGAGTGCAAGCAGGAGAAGAAGAATGGATCTTGCAGTTGCTTCTTGGCATATCATACTTCTTTCGCTACTTGTCCTGGTAAAAGTTAAGACTATTTCATATTTTATTTCATTCCAATTCAAGTTCTTTAGTTGAAAACCATTGAGAAGAATCAAGTATATATATGATCTGTATAGCACATGAACAGTAGTCTTTTTTTTTATTTTTAAAAGATTAGTTAGAGTTTTACGCTCAAGAAACTGAAAGAATGATTTAGATATATGCTGAATAAGTAATACTCATCACCAGCTAAAAGAAAAGAATGCATGTGTGCGTGTCTGGAAAAGGGATAATAAATTAACTTGATTAAGAACAAAGTAGATTTATAAGGGAGAATCTATTTGTATTTACTAAATTCTAAATATTGAAAACAAAAAAAGAAAGAAAAAAATTATTTGTTTCGAAATGTTTTTATATATATGAGATGAATCTATGACCGATATGGTTCAATTGCAATATTTGACATCACAAATCTGTATATTCCGTTTACTATAGAAATTCACATGGAATTATTTCGAGTAAAAATAGTTTGTTCTTGCGTATCTCGTCCGATTTTTCAAATTGTGAAAATTTCAATAAACTTTATATATGTACGAGTTTTCAATGGTTATATTGCCATAAGTGGTTACCATTAAATATAAAAATTTAATGATATAGTGTGATATGAATTTAATTTAATTAATTATCATAAATTTTTTTTAGTCAACTATCCAATTTATTACAACTGTCAAATCAACATCTTACATTTCAAATAATGATATCCATCAATCCGCAAATAATAGAGTAACTATTAAAACTACAGAAATATATATATATATATATATTTATATTTATATTTGTCTAGGTTTATGTACTGATCATTATTCTGCGGATAATTGCTCAGGGTACTGAATCTAGGGATGTCCCTAGTGATAATAATATAATACAGCTCCCTAGTAGTAATACTGAGTATATTGGAGATCATGATCATCATCAATCTGATCATCCCAAATCCCATATGCATCACATGGACAGTAATAATGTAAATATGGTTTTCTTCACAATGGAGGACATGGAAGTTGGCAAAACAATGCCAATTTATTTTCCCAAGATAGATCCTTCAACTTCTCCTCACTTGTTGCCCAGAGATGAAGCTTCTTCAATTCCTTTCTCATTAAAACAACTTCCTAACCTTCTCAAGAAGTTCTCTTTCTCAAAAGACTCTCCCCAAGGCAGTGCCATGGAGGACACACTCAAGCAATGTGAGAGTCCACCCATCAAAGGCGAGACCAAGTTCTGCGCTACTTCCTTAGAATCCATGATCGATTTCATACGTCGCATTTTCGGAGACGATAGTTTTAGTGTTGTGGCAACTAATTTCTTTACCAAGTCAAGTACCACTTTCCAAAACTACACTATTTTGGAAATGCCTAAAGAGGTTTTCTCTCCCAAGATGGTGGCATGTCACACCTTGCCTTACCCCTATGCAATCTACTATTGCCACTACCTAGAGTGTGAGAACAAGGTGTACAAGATCTTATTAGGTGGAGAGAATGGAGACAAGGTTGAAGCTGTTGCTGTTTGTCACATGGATACATCGCAGTGGGGCCGTAATCATGTGTCGTTCCGTATACTTAAAACTGAGCCGGGGACTTTCCCGGTGTGCCATTTCTTCCCGGCCGAGCATCTTGTGTGGGTTCCGAATTCCCCTACTTCAATGTAGTACTAATTTCAGCGTGGTATAAGTGTGTCCCATAATATGAGTGTGGTATTTGCTTATAAGTGTAAAATGTTTAATGTTCTGCAGACGTGCTTCTAAAGCACACAACAAAAAATAATGTCAGTCAAATTTGCCATTAAAATAGACTCCTCCACTGTGAAGTTTGAACCCTGTTTAGTGCTTGTTTCTCGATCTTTACGAGCATATGCTTTTGTACAAGATGAAATATTTCATATATAGTCAACAATTATATGATAATTAGAGTCTTCAAATTAAGCTTTGACAATCAGGCTTTTGAACTGGAATTTAGCCATTTCAGTCCACTATGTGCTGCTAAATTAGTTTATATATGATTGTCAGTTTTCTCAAAGGTCCAACGAAAGTCCAAATTAAAAAGACCTAGTTATTCAGGAGACTTAATTGCAATTTAAATCCCTTCCCTTTTTTAACCCTTGAGTTTATAAAGCTTCAAGTTCCGGCGAAGAAATTAATACTTCCAATATAGATTTGAAGAACTAAAATGGCAGACACCTATATTAGATAAATATTAATACGAGAATCTACGATTAACCTTCATTTGTTTACATACATGTAATCCAGAATGTTTTGAAATTTGAATTCTGTGCTGAGAACCGGAATCACAGTCAGATACATTGAGCAGTAGATAGGACCCTCTTTGACAGAGCTTCCTAGAAGTTTTTTTTTGACTTCCTAAGACTAGAAGCCACTTTGGTAAGTAATTAGATGCAGTATTAAGGGTCCGTTCACTTCACTGATTCGAGTTTGTAATTCGAGTTGAGATGTGATTTTGTGTGAGAGCTTTTTTACTGTAGCAAAAAAATTAGATGTGACTGTTTCTGAGAGCTTTTTACTGTAGCTAAACTCAAATTCTAAACTCGAATCAGCGAAATAAACGTGCCTTAGCTTTTCAGAAAAACTTTAATTAAAAAGCTCTTCTGACTTTTAAACATACAACAGAGTTTAATAGGCTTTATTTTAACAATTTTATTACTTATTAGAAAATTTCAAAACTATGCTTACTAATTTAAGTTCTTTTAAAAATATGGTTCGAAAAGTCACCATTTTTATTTTTTCTTTTTTTCTTTTTCTACTTACTAAAACAAAAGCAAAGGCCCATAATGTTTTTAAGTTAAAAAACTAAGGAAAATAGTAGAAAATAGACCAATATAAAAAGCTTAAGAAAGTATATAGGCCAATTTTTAGTTATAGAAATTAATAAGCCATAACTTGTCAAGTTATGGTTCAGAACTAGATAAGTTATGGACAAACTTGTCAAGTTATGGTTCATAGCCAGACAAGTTATGGACAATAACTTGTCAAGTTATGGTTTATAACTAGACAAGTCATGGACGAAAATAGTGATTTGGCCTATTTATTAACTTATGTAAACTATTAGTCTATTAATTTTAATTCATCTCAAGACCTATTTTTCTCTTTCTCCCAAAAACTAATACTGAGATTGCAGCAGAGGTTTGGGCTGGATCACATATGTGGAAAATTAAAAATGTAGGCGAAGTTTTCTGATCAAAGAGATTTCATTCTTGTAGGAATCTAAAGTACTTATTCATGTTTTTTCGAGCGCTTAATCGGAGAATTATTTATAGCATTTAAAAGACCTCATTTTAACCTCTCAAGATGCCATATATGCAGCTGAATAAAATATAGTGCCACTGAAGTGGATTTATGAATAGTTTTCTTGTATATTTCTGTTGCATTGGATCCATCCCATCCAAAATGTACTAGAAACTACAATGTAATCTAGAGGGTTACTAAAAAAATCTTTTCTTGAGAGCTTGCTTGGATCATATTCAGAATTTCTTGAGAAAATCCAAGTGGATCAGAAAAGAAAGAGAATATTCTCTCAGAATATTCTCCGACAATTGGAGGTGGAGACGTCCGACTATCTTAATTTGTTAATTCTAAAAAAATATTCTGAAAGAAAATAAAAATAGTATGAAAGAATATCAAAAACATTCTGCTGGAATGCTCTCGGACGACTAGAGTCAGAGATGTCCAGCCTTCTTTGTTGACTTTAGAAAAAGTTTCTGTTGGAATGTAAAACTGTTCAATATTCTACCAGAATATAACTCTGGCGCGAGCAACTAGTGCCAGAGACGGTTGTCGATATTTGTTGAGAACAAAAATAATCTGGTAGAATATCATGAAAAATATTCTACTAGGATACCATCCAGTGAATTGTGTTGCACAAATCTTTAATTTTAAAAATTTTTGACTGAAATGTAAATATGAGATCCTTTTTGTAGCATTCTTATTAAAAAAAAAAAAATCAAATACTAACTCATAGTGTTAATAGTATATGAATTAAAAGCACCAAAAATCTTTTTAGAAAATTTTCCTTAATTTACTTGTCAAAATATAGGAGAAAGAAAGATAATAAATACTTTTTTGTTTAAGTAATACTTTTTGTATAACTATACTTTTTGGAAAAAAAAAAAAAAAAAAAAAATTAAACATACAGTTGTGAATATTTTAGCCAATGGCAAATTATTTATGGGATTGATAAAAGATAGATTCAACATACAACAGCTGCTTAGAATTAGAGATCAAACAAGGGAATAGAACCCCAGGAAACGATCTAAGCACAACAACCTACATAAACACTAAATCATGAAAAATTAAAAAAAGTTACGACCAGAAGAAGATATTATTCAGTAGCTAGCCTAGAATTATGCATGAGCCTTCTATTTCAAACGACATGTCGTCTAATAATAATGGGATCTTGCTATGTATATATGTGATTCCGCTTCAGCCACGTGTGGTTTGCTTAACAAGTTCTTTGGGTTCTTCATAAGATTGCATCATGTGATTCTCTCCTTGAGGCTTGGAATGGCTTCGGTATATGATAGCATTGGGTCGAACGTCGAAGTTCTTGACAATCAAACGGTCCCATTTTGTTGTACTGGGGAGATCAGACGGCAAATCTTGATTGAAAAGACCGTCTCTGATTGTTTTTGGCATTACTTGATCTTTCGTCTCGCTCTTCCAGTAGTCTCCCACGTCTTTTCTTGCATAGCTGAGATTGCCCATCTGCTAATATTATACAAAGAACAAGTATATGAACTATGTTGGTTAATTATTTTCTCATAAATAAATAACGAGAGAAAATAACTGATACAGCCGATTATATTGGTTATATTCGTATAAATTTAGGCTTGAAACGGAAATACTTGAAATGTATATATACTCTAATGACTTAAATATACGTTTTGATCCATTTCAAGTTTAGCAAGTAATTGGAACTAATCTTTAAGAAAAAAATAAATTAGTTGGAGAACAGTATTTTGAAGAACTTTCCGTAGCTAGAGAATATGTATAAAAATTTCTTAAGAAGAGAGAAATTAATTATGCATAAATAGAGAAGAGAATGAGGAATGCAAAAATCGACTTCATTTTCCTTTGCTTTCACCAACTAAATGATATACAGATACAAATGAACTTTGAAAGGCCGTATACTCCAAACTCTGATTGTTATAGCCTTTTTATAGGCCAAACACGATTTCTTTTTTCTTTTTCTTTTTTTAAGGAAAAATGAATCCACTGGCTTTTTAGGGGAAATAAATGCATTGTTTTCATTTTCGATCTGCGTTTCATAGGACTCATTATCTGAACAGTTTTTGTGTTTAAAAATATAGTGTCTAAATCAACAATATCATGCTACATCATTTAAAAAAATTGAAATGTTCTTCACTTGATCTTTTCCATGCTTGTTCATAAATTTTATGACAAAATTATATGATTAGTTAAACACTAAGTGGGACACCAAAAATTAATTAATAGGTATAAATCTCCTTCCATATTATACAATTCAAATGTTAATACTAATTATATATTTAGCATTAAAAAGTATGATTTGGTATGTTATTTTTCTTTTTCCTCTAATGCATACTACTACTTGAAATGCTAAATATACTTTTTCCTATAATTATTAAGCTTTGAAAGTTGTGTAAACTTTTATTTTTAAAATACTTAAAAAATGCAAAAGTTGCATCAATTACATGAAAAAAGTAAACATTTTAACCAATAGTAATCAAATGTCAAATTTTTCATTTATCACAAAGTATAACATATGAGAAATTTGGCACAATAAATAGCATTGCAGGAGAGTGTTTTTTACACTCAAATGTTAAACTTACAATTGACGCATTAATTATAGTATTACATTAGAGATACTCTTAGCCTAAGGGCCCGTTTGGATTGGATTAAAAAAAGTTGTGTTTGGCTTATTTAGTCCAAATGCCGCTTTTGAACATGTTTGGATGGCCAATCTTAGAGTGCTTTTGACTTTTTAGCATTTTTAAAACTAGTTATCTCTTTGGTGTTTATGAAAAAGTGTTTATGAAAAGCTTTTTTATTTACATTTTTAACCTTTTATTTGTGAACAATTAACAAATTAAATATCTCATTCATATCCTTTTATTACGTTACTTTTTATAACAAGAAGTGTTTTTGACTATTTTATCCAAACAAGTTTAAAAGCTCTTATTAGACATAACAGTACTTTTTCAGGCACTATCCAAATACTAATTAAAAGACCCCAACTTATACTTAGCTGTTTCTATTACTTAAAAAGTACAAACACAATCTATCCCAAATGGGTCCTAAAGGCTTTAGCGATTTAGGGTGGCAATTTTAGAATTGGGCAATAGTAGTAGTGATTACAATCATCGATATTATTGATTTCAACTATATAACTCAAATATAAATGATTTCCACGTACGTATCTTCACACACACACACACACACACACACACACACACACACACATATATATATATATATATATATTAGGAACTAAAAAAAACACGTGTTGAAAATTAATATTTTTTCATTGCGCGCACTTTTGTACCTTCATGACCAACTGGAGAGAACATAATTTCATCCGGTATTAATGCTAAACAAGAATTATGTACTGCAAATATCTTGGTACTAGCTACTTCAAATTATAACACTTTGTGCAGGGAGATCTGAGGGCTTCTGACAATTAGCTGATTATTATAAATAGAAAAACTAGGGAGGTGTAAATGGCGTTAGACATCAAAAGTCTCCTATGGTATAAATATAAGATGATTAGTGATTTATAAACATTTAGATCCCCTTCCTTTATATGCCGATTTTGTAAGAGTGGGTTTTGTGTACGTTCTAGATTTGTAGAAATGGCCTCAAGAAGTAATGTGCATGTCAACGGAAGCTATTGTAACTTTGGTGCTCATGTAATATAAAC